AAATAACAGTATCGAAGCAGAAAATTGTAGATCTAACTAGATGAATAAGGGAGACGTTAATTTATAAATTGTGAATCAGCTACAATTCCTGATATTGAAGGCCTCTACATCTTTGAAGCTCCTATACCTTTAGGAAAGATGGTATTTAAAAGGTTAATTTCAGGAAGTTAACTAGGTGAAAAACTTCTTCGACTCTCCTATAGAATCTCTTTCTTCTCCTGTGATAGATATCGTGACGTTGCATGAGACTGGTCAAAGAAAGAGAGGAGGATTTCACTTTCCATCTACTTATAGAATTTTTGCAAAAACTTTGATTTATGTTTCCATCTTTCATCTAAAATTTAAAGTTTCTCTCCTTCAAAAGTTTTTAAAACTCTACCATTATTTTTGGTTCTTTGTTCACGCACACTCAAGAATTAACGACTTACGATAAAGAGAAAAAGCGGACAATGTCACCTCATTTTACACGGTATCGGAAATACTGTATAGAAATATATTTCCCCGAAGCAAATGGAAATTTTGAAGAAAAGTAATTTCGATCTTTCAGGGTAAACTTGATCACGAATTTTCAGAACGATTACTTTGTCCATACAGTAGCAATTGTCAATTTTTTCAATTGAATTCCACGAAAAGCGAACGTTTAAACTTCATCGTTTTGGTCGTTGATATTGAAAGGCGTTCGAAACAAAATTCTCCGTAGAATTGCAGAATTTCGAACGAGTGGCTCACGTCCCTGTGAAAAATGGTGGACACGATTCCACGAGAAAACTCCGTAACATTTTCCTTCTTTGTGTGTGTAACGCGTGCAAGTTTCTTCGTCGATCTCTCGATGGCTACGCGAGATCGCCGTGTAAGGCGAAAAAGATGCTTTCCTGTGACGCGTAATGCACTTTAGGCTCGTTTTTAAGCTTCGTAAAATTCTCTCGTTTACGTTCATCGACTCCTTCAAAAGGAAACTTATTATTTCGATTGTCAATGCTGCACTTTCTATTCGAGAACAAGTCGCGATGCTCTATCTTGCATTCTCCCTCAAAAAGATTTATTGGAAATCGCGCGAAAAAGATTTCGAACCGTGCGTCGGTTCAGCGTGTGAAACGTAGAACGTGGAGAAGTATCTCGGTAGTATGCGTTATGCGCGCCCATGTGACAGTATGTACTCATAAAAAGAACGAATAACAGCGCGAATATGTGTTTTCTCGGTTCCTTCGGTTCGTAATTTTTATTCCCGCGAAGTTTCTTTGCGCATCGAACGGAATGAAAAGGAGGCAGCGCAGTTTCTTTCTCTGATTCTCGTCTTTTTCGTCAAGAATTGCTTCGCGACGTGCAATATTTATGGAAAAACCAACGCATTATGTCGATATTTTTAAAACAACATGACCGATTTACAAAACTGTAGCGAAAAAATATAGGTATTCTTCCTCCTATACATTATATCCAATAATATATACACTTCGTCTTATATAATACATTTAATACGTGTGTGTCGTGTGTGTGTGTGTGTGTACGTGTAATAATAATATCGTGTCAATAAATAGAATACTTTCTCGTTTAAAATTGACTGAAATTATGGGTATGATCGAAGCACGCAATAAGTGAAAAGAAGCGACGTGACGATTATTGCTTCGTTTTGCTTTTCTTCCATCAAAGGGGGAGGCAATGATATGTTCCTAGCCTAATGTATACAACTATACGTAGAACGGGGAGCGTTCCTTTTTCTCGTTTACTTCGATTGCACAGATATTTCCTTCTCGTATCGATATTATCGTTTACAAACCGTTCGAGGGGGTCTCAACGACACAGGACAGTCTAGCAGAGATTTATAAATTCATAAATTCTGAGTACTTCAACGACAATCTTCGCTCTCGAGAAGAGAAAAGAGCTTTTTTCCGCTATATCGACCTAATAGTAATACGCGTTTGGTCGAATGTTATCACTAATACACACCGGGTTTCCTTCTGCAAAGGACGTCGTGACTGACAGTATCTTATAATCAACTTTCCGTTTGTAATCTCGCGAGAGAGGAGAACGTTACTCACTTATTTCTATTTGTTTACTCGAAACGATCGAATTCATTGCTTGGAGCAGACACTCAGGGCGTCTTCGAAGCTTTCCATTGGAAAAATTCTTAAAAAACAACTTTTTATTCGGTGCCCATAGAATATGAATTGGAATCTGAATTATGGAATTGAATATTTCACGATGAACACGAATGAAAATTTAACTGTTTGGTCGAATAAATTATACGTTAGTCATATTCAAATTAAATTTTGTTGAACTTGTAAACAGTGAACTTTGAGAACAGTTCCATTGGATGATATTGCAATGTTAATATCTTTTAATATCACAAGTGAACTATTTAAAATAATATTGTATAATTATAAGATCTTGTTGGCTTTGCAGACGTCTAAATTTCTGTTCCATGCAACGACGAATAATATTCATCAGCTTCGACAACAAAGATGGATGCTTCAGAACGAGATGCAGAAGGAACGAAGCCTAACGAACGTTCATTTCGTTTTCCCATTCCTACGTTTCGTCTTAATTGTATTGTCCATTACCCGCGAACAGACACGTACAATCACTAGATACTCTATCTACAGTAATTTCCATTTACGTTTAAGCTATATTCGTGAGATTAGATGTTGGCCACACAACCGAAAGAACACGTGGATTCGTCGAATGACAGATTAGAGATAAACGAGACCGCCAAAACATCGTTCTAAGACTATAGAGAGTAGCAGAACATTTGCGTGCGTATCGGTAAGTTTATAGCAGAAATTACTAGACGCTGTAAAATTGTTCTTAACGTTCCCGTCTATTTTTGGCGAAAGAAAAAAAAACAACACGAGCGAAGATTACTTTCGCGAACAGACGTCGAGCTACGGGGTACATTCAAAAGGACGATATCGCTGCTAAGTGATCCATCAAACTCGAAAGTTTCGTAATCTCGTCCCCACCGTCGATTTTTATCATTCAAACATGCCTCCTTTACCTTCAAGCAATATACATAGGTACAACATTTATGAATACATGCTTTTCTGTTCGGGACTCTCTTGTCCCCTGCATTGTGCACCTACGCTAGGAGCGTCGAATCCGATTTGCAAAATGATCGTCGCGAACTTATGCACGCGGTGTACGTCATATTTTTACAATATAAATATAATATGATATACGCATGGCATTACATGCAGGGTGTTCGTTTGGAAACTTTCAATCTAAATATCTAAAAAACAGCACATTTTTAGGGAAAATATGTTATTTGTTATTGGTTTCAAGCAGGAAATTATTTTATTCGTTTTTTATTTGTAGAAGGCTCACAAGATAATGAGAATAATTTTTTTGGAACGATTTGAAAAATTTTTTTTACCCGAATTTTTTTCTCGAAAGTGGGTAGGATTTCGGGGGTATGTGTATTCACCAAATATGATTGTAATTGACCCCTGAAATCAGAAATAATTTTTACAGAATGATTTGAAATTTTTTAATCACTTGTTAACGAAGCCTCGATCAACAGATTGATATACTTGATTTTCATCTTATTTTGGCCTCTAGAATCTCCCATTAAAATTTTTTCCACGAATGGCCGAACACCTTGTATAATAGGTTTCTATTTAAAAAAGCAACCCTTCAAATAACCTTCAAACCCTTCGACGAATAAAAAATAAATAAAATAGTTACATTTCCACCTTACAATTAAATAACTCTAATATCTAACATTTTTCCCAAAAATGTATTGTTTTTCAGATATTTACATTCAAATTTTCCAACCGAGCACCCCGTATATTTGTGTCCGTACATATAATGTCACGTATATACATATGTTTGCTGTGTAATCCATAATATGCATAGTATAATAGGTGTATATATTACATGACGTATATAATAAATTTATCGTATCAACCATAATAACACGACCATTGTGCAATCACGTAAGAAAGAGCGTCGCACGCGCATCATCGAACGAAAACTTAAACCGAAAGACACCAAAGCGCAACAGGGGGGGCTAACGATTCGCGGTAACCTGTAAAAACAACGTTTTCTGAGGGGGGTTGGAAGATGAAAAACGAACCGGGGAAACGCGTCGACGTGCGCGCTCTTTGCACACGCATAAGACACAACGACGAAAAAGTTTGTACGTTTTAGGAGGAGGCGCGTCGTACGATATAAAACTGTGTGTGTTCCTCGATCGAGAATCTCCCCTACCTATTTTTCGACAGTACCGTCTTGCGATTTCGTTGTGTTAATCATCACCCGCGAAACATCCTAGTACTTCGCCGTTGTTGTTCAAGTTCGAAACGAGCGTAACTGCCTCCGTCGTTCGATCTCGAAATATTGAAAAATCCCGTCGAATTACGTCTAGTAGTTACGTTTACCTTAAACATCAATCTTACGATACTTGTCGTAGCAGCGTCGTTGAACGTTGCCGATACAAATACCGACGTCGAAAGTTTCGCCCCGCCCCCGTGCAGCCACGTCGAAAGCTTCGATCGTCGATCATATCGCCTTTTATTTATTTTTATTTATTTTCTTTTCTTCGATACTCGAAGAACGTGTTCTGGTCTCCTTTCGTCGGATGTAAAACGCTCTAATAATCTTTCTACCCCCAAAAGCCGTCGAACGGAAGTGCCGTCTCTTCGTTTCACGTGTATCGTGCAGATCCCTCCGGGGACTCGACAACGAAAATTCTCTTCGATCACGCGATTCCGGGCGATCGTTTAACGAAAGCGAACGATGAGATTCTGTCCGTCACACTTTGCCGATTGTGTCTTGGGGGGAACTGTGTATGTGCTCAGACGGATCCTCGTCGAACCGTAACAACGACCGTATTTCGTGTGCGTAATCTCATGCTAAAAATCGTTCGAAACGTTAAAGATACGGATGTCTCTGAGATTGTTTTTTTATCGAGGAAGTTGTTCGGTTGCTTAGTATTTTTGTGAACGTCTTTTCGTGGGCATCGTGGGGCTATCGTGAGAACGACGTTAATGCAAGACGCTCCGGAATTAGGGGGCCAGCATCTTTGAGAGTTCCTCGTCCTGGAGGCAACCCTTCAAAAATTCGTCTTGAGTAAGCTGACCGTCATTGTTCTCGTCCATCTTTGCGAAGATGTTCTTTGCTCTTTCCTCCGCGCTGTCCGCCGGCCTGTTACTAGAACACGCTCCGAGCATGTCGTATATTGCCTGCGAACAGAAAAGCGGGGCACGATTACGATTTAAAATCCATCTTTTGGTGAATATCTTTCTTCATAGCGTATGTGTATGGGGTGTATTCTGTTTCGACGCTAGAACTACCGACAATATTATGGCATATTTATTTGTACCAAAGAAATTGATACGACAGAAACTTGAAGAAGTGTACACTGCAATGGAAGCAAATGTTTATTCGTTTTCTTTATAGAAAACTGTTATAAATTTGCAAAAATCTAGTCGACTAAGTTTGTTACAATTTTTATTAGAAATTCAAATAATTTTTTAAATTACTGATTTGTTTCCTTATGTTCTAGTACCTGCTATAGTCAATTTCATAGTAATTATGAATCAAAATGGTCACAATTAAAGAACTATGTTTGAGAGGATCCAGTATCACCAATTTTAACTCCTTTTAGCCCAAAAAATCTTAGAATATTACACGAATACAAATACAGTCTTTGTAAAAAATTGAAAATGAAACTTAGAAAAAATGCATTTCATACTAGAAAACCCCGTTTAATTGTTCATGAAACCGTAACTTTGTTGTTAGACAATTGAAAACTACCATACCTATAATTTATAATATATCTTATTTTTTTGGCCCCGTTAAAATTCAAGAGTCCTATTTAGATTTATTTTCTTTATCTCTAATCTTGAGAATTAATTTTTTTAATTCCTTAGTTAAAAGTCAAAAGGTTATTAAAATAATAGTTAACTGATAAGACCAACAAATAGGAATTTATTTCTTACAATTTATTCGAACAAATAAATTTGTATTTCTTTGTTGCTAACTCTAAACTTACCACGACTGGTCAAATGACTGTTTTTAAAATTTTGTTTAGAATTTGTAACATACAATGTTATTTTAAGGCCACTTAACTTCACGACTTTTCTTATAGTATATGTAGAACGAATTTTTCAATATTCAATTCTATTCTTATTGTCTGTTTTCTAAGAAAAATATGTAGTCTCTCTTGCCTATATTTTTATGTATGATTTATATTTTTTTGTAAAAAAAAACTGGACAAAATTTGGTTTCAAATTTTGATTAGCTTCCGATGTAAATAGAAAAAATATAACAAAGATGAAAAGAGAGAATCTTCAGTTTCCACTGTCTTAGAACGGTTTACCAATGTGTATTAAAAATAGTTAAACTTTAGACGCATGCAATTCCGAAACTATTAATGTTTTATTAATAATTGAACCACTGTTAGAAGCGGTAAAGCCTACCCTTTAAAATGATTTTTGTTTTATGTTGAGATATCGTAATTTAAATGAAGGAGTAATTTTTAAAATTCTACTCTCCGTCTTACAGAAGTTTATCAACGCGTATTAAAAATAGTTAAACTTTAGACACGTGCAGTTCCGAAACTACTAGCATTTTATTCATTATTGAGCCATCGTTAGCAGCGGCAAAGCTTCCTCTTTGAAATGGTTTTTGGTTTTTGGCGATCCGACTTTCCGTTTTCGAGATATCGTAATTTATATGAAAGGGTAATTTATCTTATTCGACTATCTCTGTCTCCGTCTGACACGTCGGACCTCTCTTTCTTTCTCTCGCTCCCGCGATATCCATCTTACAAGAGCCTAGCAATGCGTATTAAAAATACTAAAAGTTTAGATGCGTGCAGTTTCGAAACTACTAGTGTTTTATTTATAAATGAGGTATCGTTGACAGCGGTAAATCTTCCCCTTTAAAATGGTTTTTGGTTTTTGTCGATCCGACTTCCCGTTTCCGAGATATCGTAAATTATGTAAAAGGTAATTTTTTTTATTCAACTATCTCTGTCTCCGTCTGACGCGTCGGACCTCTCGCTCGCACGTGCGTCGTGCTGACCTACCCCGTGTACGTGACTGTCGTGACCTAGTTTCGGCGTAGTATTTCCAAGAAATTACTACGCACTGTTTACTATCTACGCGCGCGAGATCAATGAACTGAATGAAACGTAAACAAACGCTTCGCACCCTTATATCTCCGTAACTAGCCACCGCATCGACTTGAAACTAAAATTCTCATATCTCTGGGACTAATTACGCTATCGACTCGTACGAACTCTCATTTTAAAGGGCATTTCATCCCCTATCCGATGAGTGTATCAACTATTCCAATTTATGCTATTTTCTATATGTATTTTCATATTTACTTTGACGTTATATACCTAAAGAAGTTTCACCAATTTCAATTGATTGTACGACTGGTGTGCGATAAAATTGGATCATAAATTGTTCATTTAATTGAAAATGAATTTAAATTTGTATACAGGGTGTTTGCATTTTTTTTGTAAATAATTGTTTTCTCCGGAACTAACTACGGTATCGAATTGAAACGAAATTCATTTTCAAGGGCGTTTTATCTTTTATCCGATGAAAATTGAAAAATTGCGACGTAGTTTGTAAATTTTCTGTACGAAGTTGAAGTACTAAGTATGCACATTTTGAGTAAAAATATTGGATATCTTTGTACATGTACTATGAAATTGAAATTCTTATTGTTATTTAACGGGTAATAAACGAACTCTTTATTAATGTTTTTAATTTCTTATTAGGTATTTGATATTTGTATCTAGATTAGAATTTTGCCTGTCTCATTCGATACACTGAACACGTTTCCCTTTATTATACGTTTTAATAACCCACACGATCCAATACGACGATATTCATTGATTACGAGTATGGGTTAATTCCGAATAGAATCAAACGCATCGCTGTGTTCCAGTGATATAATCGGGAAAATCATTCCATGCATCATAAATATCAACAATATCTCTTTGAACTCGCGACATCGGATTAATCGAGTTTCGGTTTACGTGGAACCCGGATTAAGCGAAGCGTCGAATGACGAAATTCCATCGTACTAATAAGAACACATTATTCAATAATAATATTTCGATTTTAAATTACCACAATCCTACTTTCCCGGTAATAAAAAGAAACATTGTTTTATTAAGCCATATCAAATTAAATTTCCATTCTCGTACGTCAAAATTAAAATTAAAATTTATACTATCGTATAAAATATTTATAAAATTCGACGTTTTTATATTGCATAAATCGTTCGTACACTTCCTCGTATTAATAACATTATTGGATATAAAATAATTGGATTTTATATCATAATTCTATTTTCCCGGTAATAATAAAAAAAAACATGATTTTATTAGGTCGTACCGCGTGGAAATTTTCGAAAAATTAAATTTTAGTCGATCAAAATACCCCACTGTTGGCGTTGATAGTTTTCTTCCATCGAAATATCGAACGTTTTTATATTGCATAAATCGTTCGTACACTTCCTCGTACTAATAACATTATTGGATATAAAATATTTGGATTTTATATCATAATTCTATTTTCCCGATAATAATAAAAAAAACATTATTTTATTAGGTCGTACCGCGTGGAAATTTTCGAAAAATTAAATTTTATTCGATCAAAATACCCCACTGTTGGCGTTGATAGTTTTCTTCCATCGAAATATCGAACGTTTTTATATTGCATAAATTGTTCTTACGCCCCGGATCTCACCGTGTCTCGATCGAGGAATATATTTTGACCCTCGCAAAGGTGGAAAAATTTGATAGTCCGATGCGGTCAGAGAGAAATGCAACTTCGCTGTTCCGACGTGCGATGCATGCGAACGAACGTTGTCATGCAAAAGTATGGATGTCTGTTAATTCATTCGGGTTGGTTTTGGATCAATTTCAACTTGTTGACAGTACGATACGGCTGTTACTGCTTGATCCACGTTTCAAAAGGGTTAATGAATTATGCATTTCACTGACCACCATACGAGCGACCAGACCCCGTTTTTGGTCGCGACGATGAAATTTGGCTCATATTTGGGAGCCTCGCCAGCACCCCAACCATTGTCCAAATAATTTTCGATAATAATACAATTATTATTTTTCGTCCCAACGATCGTATCTCAAATAACGTATCTTAACGCACGTCACCCAGGACCATAACATTTGCACACAATGGAGGTGATTATATTAAATAGTGCTGACATTGTAGAAATTTATGCAACAGTAACTCTGACGAATTTTGTAAATTAATGAATTCGTTTATATTTCATTTTCGTATCGAACAAATAATCCTAAGTAAATTCTTCCTAAAAAATTCTGTTTTTAATTGTCGAGTTAAGGAAATGAAATGTTGAAATAATTATTAACTGTATTGGTACCTAAATTCAAAGATGACATTAATAAGATTAATTATGCTTCCCCTTGTCAAGTATAATTCATAAAATTGTCTACTTGAATGCAAGAAAAATAATTATTTATTATTTCGTTGGAAGAAATAGTTTTCGATAACATTAATAAAATTACGTACAAAACTGTCTCATTTAAAAATTTCATACAGACACAGAAATATAACAGAATATTTTGATAATCATCAGAAACTATTATAACGTGATATGTTAAGAAATTTCATTCCTGACTGGAATCATAAAGACACAATGAGTATTATTTAAAAGCGTCGTTGTTAATCTTAATATCGTAGGAATCATACAAATTTACAAAACTCCTGAGATATTTTTCCATCCAGCTTGAAAAAACATGGTTTAAAAAAAAGAAAAACATGTTAAAGTTTCAGGTAGTAATAAGAGATACTTACAGCTGTCCGTAATTAATCTGCTATTCCAGCCCTACGAGAGACTAAACGCTTCATCTTTAAGTATCCCCGTCTTTCAACGGTTTCACTAAAGCCAGTTATTATACTACAGCCAAGTGCATTTTTTTTTTTACAAACAAACGCAACAACCCTCCAATAAAAGTGCTGTGTACACACTCGCGTACTTGAGTCGTGCTCGGCCGGAAGTTCTACATTTTCATTAATATTTCGAATTCCAAAGTCCAAGAGCGTGGAAAATATTCTCAAGATTTCAAAACTTTCAGAGAGCGCGAGAAAATCGACTTCTTTTTTACCTTAGAATATTCAAATAAGTTTATCCTATATTTCTGACTTATTTAATATTTATTACTGGGACTGTATAAACTCAATTTGCAGAGGCCAAGAGGTGCAATTTCGAATTAATTTCTCTTTTTTTTAGTTTAATTAAGTTTAGGGCTTATGACTTGAAAATATACAGGGTGTTTCGTAACTTGGATGTTGAACAAGAGACATAAAAACAATGAAAAAAGCTCATATAAAACCTGTTGTAAATCTTATAGCAAGCTATTTTTGTAGCAGTTAGACAATTCTCGAACGAACTCCCAACAAATGGATTGGATGCAGGGATTATCGTGCATTAGTTAGCCTTCTCGCTCCCAAGACTTAAATCTATTGGATTTGTACTCCCGAGGCCACTCGAAAACAATCGTTTATTCAACGCCCATTGTCAATGCAGAAACACTTTGTTAATGTATACAGAGGGCTGCCAATGAGTCCGACAAACACCTGGAACTTTTGAAAGATTCAGAAACTCTATTACACGACGACTGGCAGCGTTGCATTCAGGCTGCAGGCGGCCATTTTGTACGCTTTCTGCAGACTGAAAGCTTTGTAAACTTTGAAACGTAATATAAGTGCTCTATTTTGATATAAATAAATACATACGATGTTATATTCAACTTTTGCAACGCTGTAAATAATATTGTACTTGGAAATATTTTTCTATATTTATTATTAAAATTTATAGAAAATATAGTGGTATAAAAATAAAATTATCAAATAATTTAACGTACGTTTATATGAACTTTTTTTATCGTCTCTATGAAGTTTATCTTATAAATTCATTGTTAAATAAGCTCGATGGAAACTGCTTGAAAATAGTCTAAGAATAAATATAAACGAAAAGTTACTAATTTGAGAAAAGTTTCTTGATAAAATTCTGTTCTATGGTAATATTTCAATGCACGATACCTGTACGATCTTCGTCATTTCTTGAATATCGATGACACCGTTTCCATCGACATCGTACATACGGAAAGCCCATTTCAATTTCTCTTCCGGCGTTCCGCTGGATGTTACGTCGATGGCTAACAGAAACTCCTGCAACAAAAGATCACCGTTGAACTTTAATAACGTGGATACGGTCAATAGTATTTTTATTCATGCGCAACAAAAGAGCTCGATTCTTATCTGGAACCTAACGCAGAGCCCGTACAGGGCGCAGCTTTGACGGAGATTTGCCGCAGGTTTGATCTACAGTCTCCCTCACAAAGACGAGAACTGCGAGGCAAACCTTGGCCTGTACAATGCTACTAAATATATCAACAACTTATTCTACTCAAACACAATGGAACTTTGCTACGAAATGCTCTAGATTTTACAAATTGGACAAACACATTGATCTACTAAACATATCAACAATTCTATTACAGCACAATGGAACGTTGACCTATTCGTTTCTTATCTTTGTAAGACTTTTAAATTTCCACGATAAATGTGAAACTCTCTGGACCAATCTTAACATGTATCGTGTACCAGTCACGAAATTCTACACATCTGTCGATAAAAAAAAAAATTCATGGGGGAAAAGACAACGAATGAAAGGGGAATTCAGACGACACAAATTATTCGCCTATTTTGTAAACGATAATAATTATTTGACCCAACTTCTCGAGTAGCATCGCTGTTCTTCTGAAAAAATTTCCACGCCAGATGGGACGCTTAATTAACGTTTTATAGCCATTCGAGCCGATCACTTTCGCATTCGCCACAAAAAGGTGCTCTTTCACCGGGGCGAGGCGACGTCCCACAAATCGATCGTCGCGATGGCAAAATTGCACGAATTGGGCTCTCCGATGGATTCCTCGACCACCCTATTCTCTGGACTTTGCTCTTTGCAATTTCTTTCCGTCAGAGAGTTTAAAAATTTAGCTCTAACGACTACGCAGAGTTCGACGAAATCTATTTTTCCCGGCTGAGAAAGTTGGAAACTCGCTGGGATCGAGTGTACTGCTTATGAACACTATGTTGAGAAAGAAAATTGTTTTAAAAAAAATTTAACTTGCTTTTTAAGCTGATTAAGTTGTATTAATACAGTTTCGTAGCAACAATAACATATGAATGAAATAGATCTTTTTAATGTATCGCTATGTGTGTCGATTATTTTTTGTATTTACGAGTCTATTTTAGCTGTATAAGCTTTTAAAAGAGGACATTGTCCGTTAAATTGTATTATTCAATAATAATAATATCAACAACAATCGAGGTTAGGTTTAAAAACAGCATCTCGATTATATCTTTTCTTTTTGTAAAATTTATTTTATCGAGCCAATGTTAATTTTATATATGGTTGATTTGTGCAACGAAGACGATAAATACAAAAGGTAATAATGTGATACTATTATTTCCTGATAAGAAGGGAGGAATTGTTTATTTTGAAAACACTCGAAACTAAGAATTTAAATTTTATTTTATTTTTGTCAGTTTTGGATTTTCCCATTTTGTTCCGCTAGCATAGTAAATGGCCCTATTGAATGTGAATGAGCCGGAAGAAGGCTCTTCTATAACCCAGGCACTTGACCTATACCAGCTTACTCCTCCCTACTTCGGGTATTGGGATTGAGATACACCCAATCAGAGCATCCACACTTGTAGTATGAACTTTCAGTAAACCCAGAGAAGCCTGGTACAGTGGATGAAGTTTCCATAAAAACATCATGATCTACTGCCAAATGTCCATTTATTTTATAAATATATTACTCACAAAGTGGCTAAGTAAAGCTTGAATCAGAAAATAAATTTAAAAAAACGAAAATAAATTTAGATGGGACTCTTGAATTTTGAATGAGATTATAAAAATAAATTGTATAACAAATTACAAGTTATTCAAATTGAAGTTTAGTTTTCATGGACAATTTGAGGGGTTTGGGTATTGGCATTTAACGTGGTAATGTTATTATGAAAATTCTTGCCATTTTTGATCGAGTTTCCTCCAGAAACATCGTCCATCTTCTTGACTTCTACAATATCTGCATAAACAGATTGATTAACTGTGGCTCACTCAACAAGCCGAAGCTCTATCACTGCCATCACGATGATTCAATCGACCGACTAAGGGGACTGAAGACTAAGCACCCTGTCAACCCTAAAGCTTAAGAGAAACTGGGGAATACTCAATTCTATCAACCTCTTCTGACAACCTTAGCGTTACCGGGTATAAGCCATGGCGAGGCTTCCGTAGCACCAGCAAACCACTTTCAATCAAGTTATCCTATAGTTCTTAGAACTGGTCAACTAACTAAGCGCCTGAGGCATGAGCGGATGCTACTTTCCAACAGTCACCGCCTCCCAAAATGACCGACATGCAAGATACACGATCCTCTACCGTCACCTACGAACTTCCAACGCCACTGGCATACGCGGAACATGACTGAGGGAAGGATTCGCGTAATCAAATCTTTGAACACCTCCGCAAACAATTACACTATACTCTACTGTATTCTAATTTCTTGCAAGTTAATTTAAATTCTTAAATTGAAATACTTCACATTACTTACGACTGAAAGTTAAAAGTTATAAAAAGGAAGGTTCTGACAAATTTAATTTAACTATTTATTCTACAAGGTAAGATTCCTTTTTTTAAATTAGTTTCTGAGATACGAGAAAAACAAGTCTTGTGAAATAAGCATGTTTTCTTTGAAACATCGTAATAGCAATGTTTGGAATTTAAAAAATTCCGCGTGTCGTGCGACGGACAATACATTCGAAAATGATAATATTGTTGGAGTTAGAATTTTCAAACATTGTTCGAGCCGGAAACAATGACGCCACCGATATCGCGCACGCTGCGAGTAAGATCGATACCATTATGTTTGCTCGCGTTTAATATACGAGGAAAATATTTCACTTTAAAGCTCATTATTCACTGCAAAGCTTGTTTTATTCAGAACAATTAATTTCGATCTGACGTACAGTGCTGTTGCACAAAATTCGTACGTATGCTATTAAGATTACGTAAACATTTTAAATAAATATCGATGGATTTTGTAAATAAATTTGGATTCCTATAATTTGCGATGCATACGATAAAGCCTCTTTGCACGTTTCGAATTTGCAAAACTGTTCAAGGATTTATTCCACACCTCAGAATGATCCATTAGATGAAGTGGTGGTCGTCATATTCTAATTAAACTTGGTATTTTGGATCAAAATACAAAATCTTTGCTGACTAAATTCCAGTTCAGACGTGACACAAAACAATTGTTAGCATTTATATCGTTATCAATGATTGGTCAATCAAGTCTTAAGTTTTGGTAGAAAGAGAATGAAAAGTGTAGTGACTTTCAGGAACCCTAGGGTTAACTGGTTGATCAATCAGGTGTTGATTGTTACTTTAAACAAGTCACACAATAGTAAATTTAGATACAAAGAAAATAAATGAAAACTCTTCACAGTGTACAGATTGCTGAAATATATAAAATTAAAGTGAATACTGCAGTATAGTGACTTTCAGGAACCCCAGGGTTAACTGATTGGTAGATCCAGTTGGTTAGCACTTACTTTAAACAAGCCACACAATATTAAATTTTGATATACAGAGAATAAATGAAAACTCTTTACAGTGTACAGATTGCTGGAATATAATAAAATTAAAGTGAATACTGCAGTATAGTGACTTTCAGGAACCCCAGGGTTAACTGATTGGTTGATCCAGTTGTTGGCACTTACTTTAAACAACAAGTCACGCAATAGTAAATTTTGATATAAAGAGAATAAATGAAAACTGTTCACAATGTACAGATTGCTGAAATATATAAAATTAAAGTGAATACTGCAGTATAGTGACTTTCAGGAACTCCAGGGTTAACTGATTGGTAGATTCAGTTGGTTAGCACTTACTTTAAACAAGCCACACAATATTAAATTTTGATATACAGAGAATAAATGAAAACTCTTTACAGTGTACAGATTGCTGAAATATATAAAATTAAAGTGAATACTGCAGTATAGTGACTTTCAGGAACCCCAGGGTTAACTGATTGGTAGATCCAGTTGGTTAGCACTTACAATAAAATTGAAAAGTAATATGACCGTGAATAGTGGAGCATGGTGATTTTCAGGAACCCAGGGGTTCCTTTCACCGTCAGGTATACAGGAGATTTTTGAGTATCCTCGTCAGAGGTACAGTTTGGTAAAACTAGGTCGCTTGACATGTAAGGTAGACAAACGACGAGGGTTTTATAGAAGGAGTCGATGGCAAGCCGGTTCTTTGCACTTCCTGACCTCTGAAGTGTCTCCACTTCTCATATTGACCCTACCGACGTGCTGGCCCCTCTGGCCAACTTCTGCCATCAGTTAGCACCACTACTTGCGCCGCTGCTGCTGCTCCTCCTAAAGACTTTTGGAATACGTGAAACGAACTGCATTACTGCCGGAAGTGTGCCCGTAAATGGAACGCAACAAAAGAAGCCAGGATTCTTGACACACGATATTTTTCTATGTCACAAACTTCTAAGGCAATATTACTTCCAGCGACTTCGACGTCTTGGAACGCGTGTGCTGTATCTACGAACACGAGCTTACGGAACAAGTAAAGAGTGAAATGAAAGAAATGAGATTTCCTGTGTTTAGTGTAAAGCAAAACGGACATTAATGTAATTCCATGCATTTAAAATATGTCAATATCTTCAAATTTTTTAAACAATTTAATGGCTTCGATTTTGTTCTGTGTATCGAAGTCATAATATTTTATTTCATGAGTTTCTGATAAACCTCTTGTGAGATACAATATAGAGCAGCGGACAACATACATAAACAAACATGCTAATATTTTTCCAGTCTTCGTCAAACTTTGTCAAAAATTTAATACCACCAATGTTTTGCACAATCACCACGCCACATTTCATAATTTTCTAATAAACTTCTCTTGAAATACAATGTAGAACAACAACAAACATGAACAAACACAATGTATGAGAATATCCACTCAAGTCTCATGAATATTTGTCAAAAATTGAATAGCCCCCACACAGTGTTTCATAATTTTCTAATAAACTTCTCCTTCGATACAAAGCAGAACAATAGCCAACATACCTGACCAA